TTGTTCTATTATCTGACCTTCCAGCTCTAATTTACATCTTAGTAAATTTACTAATTATGTCTTAGTAATTTGTAACCATCCATTTTGTCTTTTTTGGGAACATGTTAACATGTTAACATAAGCACAGTCTGGTTAAAACGAGTTAAGTCGAGACATGTCATTCATAAGCTTTAAATACAAAGATAAAAACTGATTCATCAGTAGCAGACTAATTCTAGATTAAATTAAGGGTAAGAGAGTTACTGAAGAACGAAAATTACACCCTAAAAAATGTTTACAATGTAGACGACACTTGGCTCAATTGGAAAGTTTTGCCACGAAAAACTTTCGTGTCACGTCGTGAATTAGCAGCACCTGGACCTAAAATAAACAAGGACCGTATCACTGCCTTATCTTGCGCTAATGCAACTGGCAGCCACTGTTAGCCCATGGGTTTCATTGGTAAAAGCAAGATACCACGTTGGTTCAAACACATTAATATGTTTGAGATGCCTATGCTTACACTTCGCAAAAGAGAGCTTGGATGTACAGTAAAATTTTCATGGAATGGTTTATAGAAAATTTTATAATACCCTCTATTAAAGCTTATCAATTATAAAATGAAAAAAACCTTTCTTAAAAAACTAGGTGATCTAGTCCCGTGTTAACCACTTCTCCTGTTCTTACAGGAGATCTACTGTATTTAGAAGCAATCTACTGTTCTTCTGTTTCTATTCGGAAATCTACTGTTTAAAATTAAAAAAACCGGTAGTCTTTTTAATATGTTTGTATTAAAATTTATTTGATACTTCCCTGTATTGTTTATACCTACTATGAAAACTAATTACTTGCAAAGAATGAATAATTCCCGGAATTACGTAATTGTAATTTGATACCTAAACCATAACATATTATTAACATCATATTTTCGTATTGGCACGTATGGGTAACTAAATGTGTCAGTGGCGCACCTAGAATTTGCCTGAGGGGGTTTGATTGGGCACCGAAATTTTTTTTATGCTCCCCTTATTTTGAGTCCTTAAAATTTGTATTTTAGTTTAATTTAAAGCACTAAAGATAGCAGTGCCAAACATTCAAGTATGTGTTATCCTGCCTATCAACTAAAACCACCCTCCCCTACTTGTGTGCAGTTGACTGTCTACCTTACTACGAAAATGACTGGGCGGGCATTTAACCCCCAAAACACCCTGGATGCGCCACAGTCATACATGATTCACACACTCTTAAACTTTTATGTATATATGGTATGCTGATGTGTGCCTTTGGTGCCATAAAATTTGAATTATGGATCTTTGAAATAATTATTACTTCAGCATAATTATTTATTGCCCTGGTCGGTAGTTAGTTATCGTTGTCGTTTGTCGTGTTGATTTTAAGATTTGTTAATTTGTCTTTTCAGTCAATTTAATTAAATTCTTCAGTTAATCCTTAATTTATCAGAGATATTATGTTGAATTAAACTTATTGTGGTTAGATAAATTTTTTCTTTAAAATTATATTTTTAACATTTTGAATGTATGAGAACAAAATTTCTAATGATGAGGAAAATACATCATCAAGTGGAGAAGGCACATCCACCCAAAAAAAAACAACAAATATTTCCAAACATTGAAAACCGATTGTGAAAATTGGTTGGCTAAAAAGAGAAAATCCAATGATGAAGCATTTTGTACATCATGCAATAAAATAATAAATATTGGTGCTACTGGATAAATGATACCTAATATTGCGCGATAAAGAAAGTGCCTTTCATATTAGAAGTATAAGCTTGATGAAAAAACAACAGACATTGACCAACATGAATACTTTTAAAATGGCAAATTCTTTGAAATTGAAAGAGGCAGCAAAAAGGGCGGACTTACATTTGCCGCATATGTTGCTGAACATAATATTTCATATAAAGGCATGGAGCATTTACCAAAATTAATTAAAATATCTGTTCTAGCTTTTAAAAAATCTGTTAAAATATCTAGCTCAGTAGTAGCCAAAAATATTAAATATGGTCGTACCAAATGCTCCTCGCTTGTAAAAAATGTTATGGGAAATCAAAATGAACCAAAGATTATTCAAATTTTGAAAACGAATACATTTCCATAATTATTGATAAGTCGACAGACAGATCATGCACCAAGCATTTGGCTTTAGTATGCCCATATTCATGTATCAAGTATCATGTATCAATTGTCGGTATTTTGAATCTATTCTACTATTGACCAGAGCTTCTTCAACCGCCCAGTGTTCAATGCTGTCGAAAGCCTTTTCACAATCTACGAATGCTAAGTACAGCGGAAGGTTGTATTCATTGGTTTTCTCAATTAAGATTTTAAGCGCATGTAGATGGTCGATTGTGCTGTATCCTTTCCTGAATCCGGCCTGTTCCACTGGTTGGTAGTTATCAAGTTTATAGTTTAGTCGGTTGTTTATTATTCTTGTGAAGGTTTTATATAGTTGTGACAAAAGGGAAATAGGACGGTAGTTGTTTAGGTCTGTCCGGTCTCCTTTTTTATGTATTAAGATTGTGTTGGCATTTCTCCATTGTTTAGGTATTTTACCTTCAAACAGACATTTGTTGAACAGTATTTTTAGCATTTTTTTTATCGTGTCTCCTCCTTCTTTTAGCAGTTCAGCCAGTATTTTGTCTTTACCGGCCGTTTTATTCCTTTTCATGTCGTTTATGGATTTTTCGATTTCATCTTCAGTTATTTCTGGTAATACCTCCGAGCCAACATTTTGTATTTTCCTCGAGAGATTCTGTTTAGATGATAGTGGTGGGTCATTTTTAGAACTGTATAGGTCTGTGTAATATCTTTCTGTGATTTTTACTATTTCTCCTAGATCTCTTTTTTCATTGTTCTCAGCTTGAAGCATGATTAGTTTTCTTTTTCCTGTATTTGTCTTCATTGTTTTTAAACTTTTGTTCTTCTCTATGATTTTCTTAATGCGGTCTTCTTGGTATTTCTTTAAATCTTCCTTTATCTGTTTTCTTATGGTTTTGTTCAGTTCGGTAAACTCCACTGTATTTCTTTTATTATCATTCAGTAGTTGTCGTCGTTTTTTTAGCATATCTTGTGATTTAGCGCTAATTTTTTGTTGTTTTCGCTTTTGTTTATTAGCAATCTTCAGGCCTGCTTCTAGTAGTTCTGTTGTTATTTTATCGTTTAATTCGTCTAGTTGCAAACCCTTTAGCTGTGATATGTCACTTCTTTTTAGCTGGTTTATGTATTGTTCTTTGCGTTCTTTAAGAAGTTCTGTATCTATCTCTTTTTTAGATGGTTTAAATTGATTGATATATTGATACATGATATTTACCAAAACGCAACCATGACCGTAATTCTGGACGACAAATTAATAACGGATAATATAAAAGATAAACGAGGAGTCCGACAAGGCGATATAATTTCACCTAAACTGTTTACCTTGACCCTCGAAGACATAATAAAATCAACAGATTGGGAAAGCAGAGGAATATGTATTAACGGAAAATACCTAAATCACCTTAGATATGCGGATGATATACTCCTGATCTCCTCGGAACGACAAGAATTAAAATTAATGCTGAATGAACTTCATGAAAAATCACTGCAAAAAGGCCTAAAAATTAACTTCAGCAAAACAAAAGTAATGACAAACACGAAAGACCAAGAGGCAATAAAAATAAAGACAGAAAAAATAGAACAGGTAAATGAGTATATCTATCTAGGACAAGCAATCAGAGCTAACAGAGAAAATCAAACAGCCGAAATATCGAGACGAGTAAGAATGGGATGGGTAGCGTTCGGCAAACTTTCTTACGTTTTAAATAATCAAACAATCCCTCTATACTTACGAAGCAAGGTATATAACTCCTGCATAATACCGGTGCTCACCTACGGAGCACAGACATGGACATTTACACAGGCCAATTTGGATAGGATAAGGAAGGCACAAAGAGCGATGGAGAGACAAATGTTGGGTGTATCACTTAGAGATAGAAAACGTAACCAGTGGATCAGAACCAGAACAAAGACAGTAGACGCGATAGAACAAGCAGCAAAACTGAAATGGTAGTGGGCTGGACACAATAAACGTCTCCAAGACGGACGATGGAACAATGCCATCGGAAAGTGGCGTCCATACAATTTAAAGAGATCAAGAGGCAGACCACAGATGAGGTGGAAAGATGACATCAGGAAACAAGGAGGTCCCACATGGCAGAGAACAGCTCAAGATAGGGAAAGATGGAGAGAACTGGGGGAGACCTATATCCAACAATGGAGGATAGAGAATAGGTTCAAAAAAAAATGCCGATATTTCGATGGTGAAAGGTCCTTTATTTTCTGGTATTTTTGAGAAATGTGTTAAAGACTTAATATATGATATTTTAGGATTTCTGATACCTTTACGTTGCTACCATTGAAATAGGCTAGATCTCAAGATATTTTTGATAATAGCCCATGTTATGATCGGAAAACACAATTGCAGCACGTGAAAAGTTACCCAGGGACCAAAGATTGATGTACAATTTTTCGACTTACATTACGTCCGTCTATTAGCCAATAACTTTGGTACATGGAGTACAAGGGGCTTGGGAACTAGCATGTTTTAATTTTACGTATTCTTTACGTAAAATTGATCGAGTGATGTAGTGATTAGCTGGCAGCAAAATTGAATGTTTTTGCGACTCAGATAACGAGGATCGATCAAGCTTACCACCAACTCTTAAGATTCCGTTAGTATCTAGAAATAGATTCAAAGGCACCAATTTATAAAAAAAAAAAATTTAAAAAATTATAAAAAAAATTAAATAAAACTAAATAAAATTAAATAAAATTAAAACTCAGTAAAATGCAGACATAATATTTCATTAACCTACGCTATAAAAATATTCACTTCTGTGTGCACTCCACAAGTGCCAAGTTCTTTTTTTTTAATAATTTTGTAAAATTTTAGAATAGTTAGCGTTAAAGTTAACTTATTTAGCGTTAACACTAAATGTAGCTAAATTTAATAGATATTCCTACCTTAAACTTAATTGGTAAGGATACTCCTCAATTTTGGTAGCTCGACCGCCCACAATTCTGCCGCGAGCCAAACAATCGTCGAAAATGTCTGAAAAGAAGGAATTTAATATTACACAACGTCACCTAAACATCTTAATGCGGTCTTATAACGTACTCAAAATAAAAGATCGTGTTGAAGAATATGATGGTTAATAATCGGATTCACGGATAATTTGGTATTATCAGCGTAAATGGAAACCTTACTGGATACATAAGTGTAGATACAAAAGAATAGTAGCCGAAGTACTGATCCTTGTGGGACTCCACTCTTTACTGGTTTATCTAGTGAGAAGACTTTCCCAACACGAACCCGGAAGTACCTGTCAGATAGAAAATTTTGAATCCAGATGTTTAACTTTCCGCGGATACCATAGTGATCCAATTTTGCTATTAATCGACGTTTGGGAATACAATCGAAATCTTTAGAAAAGTCTAAGTAAACTACATTACTAGGGATAGAACCAAAATCATTGGGGTTTTTAACAGGATACCGATTGTTTAAAGATGACGACCAGTCGTTTACACAATGAAGTAAGTTTGTGATCTTTGAACGCCCCTTGATAAATGCTATGCTGTTGGTGAGGGATGATTTTCTCTTGAAGGAGAAACTCAGACATAGCATTAAAAATAATGGGCTCCATGACCTTGCCGACTATAGAAACCAGGCTGTTTGGACGATAATTATTACAATCAAGTTTATTTCCTTTCTTGAATATACGAGTAACGAGTAACTGAAACCAATTTCCAGGACGGGGGAAAGAATCATAATTAAAAGAAGTATTCATTATGAGGATATAGGGGTGGCTACAGATTTGTAATCTGTAGCTACCCAGCCACCCCTAAATTAATCCTGAAATAGTCCATCTAATCCAGGTGACTATGTATTATATAGTTTTCATAAATGTTGTTTAATTGCCTCCAGTATGAAAGAGATGTTATTAAAAATTGCAAGCAGACATGGACATATTATTTGAGAAATGGTATTGCTAGGTTCATCTGTAAAACCTGAGAGAAAAAAACGATAAACATTCGGAAGATTAAATATTTGAAAAACATAAAGACCCGTCAGCTTTTTGAAGTAATAGTATAGAGACTCAAGAAGATAAAGATGCTAATGTATCGATATTTTTTCTTAGTTCTTAGCTTTGGCAATGATTGTTGGAAAAAATACGATGAGCGAAAATCTCATTAAGGGAACCAGTGAGTTTATTTGTTCGCCAAAACTTTTGCTTATTGTCGAATTAAGCGTCTAATAGCTGAGAGGTTAATTCAAGGTTTTAATCGATTTCTGTGTAGTTGCCACTGGGTTGTACGATCAGAAATAGTTGTAATGTAATAGCAGTATTACCGAAGGGATCCCACATTGACGATAGATCTGAGCGATAAAAGAAATAGTTAAGCTATCTTAAGATAGTTAATAATAGTTAAGACAGTTCAGGTGTAGAAATTAATTGATCGTCATTTGTAAAAAATAAGTATAAACTTGAAGGATGATTGTTGGCCTTAAACCTTGTAGGTTCAGTTATCGGTTGCATTAAATTTGAGTTAATGATAAAGTTTTTATATAAATCTTGAATTGTATTGAATTGGTAGTATCAGTTTTGGAAATAATGGATCAGCTAATCTCTGGAAAATTGGAATCTCCGACAACAATGAGATTTTGAATATACCGACCTCCGATCCGGAGGTCGGTATATTCATTCAATACATATAATAAATGTAAAAGAGTTATAAATAATAAGTAAGTTGATAATTATACCCGGAACATCTATTGTTTTATTACTGATAGAAACAGTACCTATGAGTAATTTCATTTAATAAATAAATGCATACTCATCCTCCTAGACGAGTACCTCTGTCTCTACGAAATATAGAAAAATTGTCGCTGTTTCCAATAGCATCCGGAATAAAAGAATTAAGTCACGTTTCTTTTAGGAGGGTAATATGGGGTTTTAAAAGTTATATTAGCATAAGAAGCCAAAAGACAGACAGACAAAAGGATGATAGATGTTACACTGGAGACCCTGTAAATAAAAAAAGCCATAATATTATTACAACACAAGTGAAGTAGACAGATGACTTAAAAAGTCAAGCCGGTCTCCATAAGATAATATTACCTAATGAGTACTATATGGTCAGTGTTAATTTTTGCTTCTTTAAACGATAATGTTGAACACTACGATGCAAAAGATTCGATTAATCCTTATTTAATAACTTACTTACTCAGAAAAATAAATAACACCAGCACAAACATACCGTTTAGTAAAGTTTTAACAAATACTTGCTCGGTTATTAATATATTTTATCACATTACCTTGGTAAAAGTTAAAACGTGCAAGTTGTTGTTATCAATGAATAATTTTATAGATTATATACAAATTCATTTAAAATATGTCTTTTTTTTCTGTCTTTTTGGTAAAGTGCATTAACCTTCCGCAGATAACGTGAAACATTTTAAAATTTTTGATAACGTCGGTCTAACAAACCGACTTTTTCTAAAATTAAAAAAAAATAGAAATTTAGCTGTAGGTGATAAATATTTGTAATAATATAATTGTGTATATTATTCTCTATACAAATATATAAAATTTATAATTTTTTTGTTATTTTAATAATTTTAAGGAGATATTAAAAAAAAGTGTCATTTTTATGAACAGTCTTTTAATAAAATCAAAATAATTATAACAAAAAAAATAAATTCTGGTTTCACTAAAACATAAATCAGTTACTTGTATGTTAATAAACAGAGAAAATAAAATTTTACTCTCAAAATTTTCACAGATCACTGAAACTATTCCAAATTTTGGGCACCATAATTTTCAAAACAATGCCTGGATATTTTCGCCACCTTGTAGTTCCATCTTTACCGATAAGGCAGGGTATTCTTGAAGTACAAGCGGTTTCTTCAAGAATAGGTAAGTTTTGTTGATTTTCAAACTCCTCTTCAGAGTATATATCCTCAATAGTTTCTATAATATGGTCGTCTATCAAACTCACATCATCATCATCTGGTTCTGCCTCTGAATCATTTAAAACTTCCCCATGAAGCCGCAACAGCCATTCTTGTTCCCTCTCGTAATTCATTAGAAACGTATGCCCTAAAATATAATATAAATCAATACCGCAAACAAAAAATCAAAAAAATTAGTCTTACCTCAAAATGTAACGGCAACTATAACGTCGGTTTGTGGGACCGAATCGTGTATAATACTGAAAATTCTTATTAAACGATACACGCTGTCCACTTGCTAAACTATAACTGAATAGATACAAGCACGTTCGAAAGGTAAACTATGAGGTGCAGATTGAAATAAAAATTAGCAGCGCTTAAACCGCGAAAATTTAAATCAGTCGGTGCGAGAGACATAACGTTATCAGCCGAAGGTTAAGGGATATTTAAACAAAATAAAATTACATTAAATAGAGATTTAAAACTTTTTTGATTGAAATCATTTATTTTTATTGGATTTGACTGTTAGTAAGATTCTTGAGATTGTATACTTAGGAGCATTTAATCGATTCTAGACTAAATTTTTGCCAGAACTCTTGTTAGGTTGCTATCGATAGCAAGACGACTTCATCCAAGCAAGAATCATTTGATCAAACATTTTTAGCACTGTCAAGAGATAGAAGTCAACTTGTAGGTTCAAATTTTGGCAGAACATATTTTAACAAGAAATTGGGTAGGGTGAATCATACAGATTGAACCAAATTAAAACGGAACATACAATTTAATACATGTCTGTTTGAACTGCATTTGAAATAGTGGACCAATATAAAACTTGGACGAAAATAAATCCATACCTGGGTATGGACATTGTATAAAATATCGTTCAACTATCTGTCTCACAACAACGTTGTTTGCGTAAGACGGGTTTGTCTAAGGAAACGATAATAGTTCAGGAAATGAATCTCGAAAAAAGTTAAAACCTCGCAATTTTTTCATCCTGCATGTATCCAGTTGAAATTTTAACAGAAGGTAGGTGATAGCCTAAGGATCAAAATCTATATCGAACCGAAGTGCGCTGAAGGGTTTTAGGGGTGAAAACTAACCCTAATTGTCAAAAATTATAAAATAACATATTAAACCTGAATATGGGTAAGATTTGGTTTGAATTAGTTAAATAATGATTATTTTATACTTTTGAATAGAGTTCCATCATATTTCAACCCTTAAAAAGCAACCCTTGTTAGAGGTTAATGTAAAAAAATTACTAATTCTAAAAAAATGATTTCGCCTTGGATCGATTTGGATAAAAATTTGGATTTAAGCTCAATTCACCCGCTGCTTTATAGTTTATGTCATGTCGACGAACCCTGATTGTTCTAAGGGGTGAAAACTACCCGTAATTGTCAAAAATTATAAAATACCATATTAAACCTGAATATGGGTAAAATTTGGTTTGAATTACTTAAATAATGATAGTTTCGTGCTTTTGAATAAAGTTCCATCATATTTCAACCCTTAAAAAGCGACCCTTATTAGAGATTAATATAAAAAAATTAGTAATGCGAAGAAAATGATTTCACCTTGGAACGATTTGCATAAAAATTTGGACTTAAGCTCAATTCACCCTCTGCTTTATAGTTTATGTCATGCCGATGAACCCTGATTGTTCTTTGGGATGAAAACTACCCCTAATTTTCAAAAATTGTAAAATAATATTATAAATCTTAAGATGAGTGAAATTTGGTTTGGATTAGTTAAATATTGATTTTTTTATACTTTAAAATACAAATTCATACATTTTCAACCCTTAAAAATCAATTGTTATGAGTGCTATAGGTGAAAACAATTTTTTGCCAAAATTTTGCAACTTTTCAACTTTTGAAAATCACTCTTTACAACATTGCAGTTTTTATAAACTAATTTATAAGATATAAATTGAAAAAAGTAGAATTAAATACAAAACAATTTATCAACATAAAAAGGCACAATATATTCTTATACATTTACATAAATAGTAGAAAATATTTACATTTATAGGTAAAACAATTATAATATTAATTTTATTCGTCATCAATTACATCTTCATCGTGATCTATGTCATCCTCATCTTCAATTATTGGTGGACTATTATTGCACCCTTCACCTAAGCCTAGAGTTACAGTATAAACCAACTTTTCTGCACCAACATGAAACACCGCATCCTTTTTTGCATTGCCAAAAAATAATTTTCAAAAGTTCATCGAGTGCAGGTTGTTTGTTCATGCGTACGGGTAATAACAAACCATCTTTGGAATACCATCCCCAATCTGTTGCTCTAATATTTTCATTGCCAAGCCATAGACATATGAGCAGATGTTTTATTCTGTTGTATGGGATTTCAAAATAAGAACGCTTAAAATTTCGAATGTATAACGCCCCACTACCTAATATACCGATTTTGTAGATTATTATGCTCCGAAATGTACTGTACTATACTAATAGAATTTTCCGGAAAAAAATTCACTGGTTTTTTTAACGTATTTCTTTTAATTTTTAACGATAGAGTGTTTTTTCAAAAACGATTTGTAGAGGTTTTTAAGAGCTACAAGGATCTGTGAATTAAATCTTTTTGGAACCCTTGGTTTTTAAATGGGGTGAGTTTAAAGGGCTCGAAAAAGATGGTGCTTGATCGTAAATCGATGCTTTAAACGGCTATATCTCGCCAAATATTCATTGTACAACAAATCTAAATGAAGGATAATTTTAGTCATTAAAAAATCTACAATTTGGTAATTTGTATTTTTTTCATATATTCAGTATTTTCGGGCATATTTAAAAAAAGAAGGGTAAAAAATATGAAATTGTAAATCGTTTCTCGCTTTAAGCTGTACTTTTTCTAACACAAAGCATTTTAAATGGGTCAAACTTCTTGGACGTATTAACAATACATGTACAAAGGGAATTTCAGAAGGGTAAAGATCGATTTTAATTATGGAGGAGGTTAGGGTGTTATTTCGATTTTTTCGTAAAAAATGAGGTATTGACCTTATTTTCATCATAACTCACTCAATTTTTGAGCTAGAGTCTTTTTTATGATAGGTCTATTTATGCTCTTTAAAAAAGGTTTTGTGAGTTTTCTTCCAAAAATGCATCATTTTCCCGATATTTGATTTTGAATCTTTCAAATTTAGCATTTGAAGAAAACCGCTGAACATTGATAGGCCGTATTTCGGTTCCTATTATATCACAAAAACATTTTAAAAAATGAATTGTATTTGTCTTTTTAAAAGCTACAAATTTGTTCTCTACAATTTTTTTGATAAAATGCACCATTTTCGAATTATTCGCGAAAAATCGATTAAAAACGTGGATTTTTTCGTCTAAAAGTTATTACTTTCAATCGCGGATAACTTGAAAAATATCATTTTATAAAAAAAATGTATAGCTCATTTTTTGTTTAGAATCACTTTTTTAATCGAAACCTGTAGTTAAAACGTAAAAAAAATTTCACCCCGGAGATGGGGTGGCAACCACCCCCTAGGCTTTGGCGCACTTTGGTTCGATATAGATTTTGATCCTTAGGCTATTACCTACCTTCTGTTAAATTTCAAGTCAATCCACGAGGCACGAAAAAATTGCGAGGTGAAATACTTCATTTCCTGGACTATAACTGGTTTGACAGCATAAATCGTAGATTTATGTGTAGCTTTCAATTTTTATGAGTTCAGAATCCAGCAGCCCGCTGAAGTATTGGATTTTTATAATATAATTATTTGACAATATTTTGTTGGCCAACCACCTACAGCAGAATTGAGACGAAATACATTATATTCCTATGTTCCGAATTTATTTCGTTCAATCTGTAGATGTAACATGATATAGATACAAATTATACGAGGTGTAAATCAAATACGCCGTTTACTAATTAGAAAATCAAAATTATATCGGTTTATAACATTTTAATAGTAATCTAGTATATGTATTTTCACGAGGCATAATCTCCCAAAAATAGACAAGTTAACAGTGAACAGTCGGGAATATAATTTCTGTTCTTCAATTAAATACTTAGGGATGATTCTTGGTCGTAAATTAACTTGGAAGTTAAACATTGACTTCATGTTAAATAAATGTAATAAGGGATTAAATTTCCTTAAAGCAATTTCTAAAATTTGGTGGGGACCCGATGTAGAAACTGCGTTACTTGTTTATCGATCGTACATAAGATCAATCATAGATTATGGATGTGTTTTGTATGGTTCAGCAGCTAAGTATATCTTGTGGAAAATAGACGTGTTTCAAAATACAATATTACGTATTTGCCTAGGTACTATGAAATCAACACCAACCAA